CAGGTGCGATGGATCAAGGACGCATCTAAAACCTGCAGGACACAGCCCTCGAGGCCTGGAGTTCGACACCTGTGCCTTAGGACAAGGACACTCTTGGCTTACCAAGCAACAATCTGACATTCAGAAGCCTAGAAAATCACCACTTCTCACTTTTAGTTTTTATACAATTAAACAAAGCTTGGATGCATAATAATTGTTGAAGGTAATAGATTATTAAGAATATTTACGAAGTCTGAGACTGGGATCATCTGTCACAATCATATTAGCCTCCCAGAATTTGATGCCAAGTAATAAAGACAGTCCAATCAGAATAAACAGACTAAAGAGTTTTGATCTTGCACACAAACACATGTAGCATAACACAAGAATGCCGTGTACAATCTCACTGTGGAGCTGTATTCAAAAAATGTATATCTTTTTGCAAGTATTTAATGCTTTACCACAGATGTACTGTCTCAGTATTGCATTATCACCCTCGCAGACCCTCCCACACTCCTTCGCCTGCAATCACAGCAATGTGCGCATAGTGCTTCAGTACAGTACTAAACTTCCATACACACACAGAGCTTTTAATGCTGAAAGTTTACTTTTGTTACAGGTGCACTAACAAAAGGCCTTTTAAGTCTGACTTGAAAATCTTTAGGAGAAATTGGCTCTAGCATTGAGGGGTTGAGGCATTGATTCTGGCCTCTGGCTCAGTCCAGGAAAAGATGGATAGATTTCTTTGAAATGCACTCTGCGTGAGAATATAAAGACTATTGTGTGTTCTCACTCAGGAATAAATTGTTTCATGACATATCTAGGGCCACCTTTTTTAGCTTCAAGCTGCCTGCTTCTCTTGAAAGGGGAATGTTGACAGGGTGGAGCACATTCATCTGTACTCCCAGACTACGCACACCTCATAGACGCTTTTATTGAAAGTTAAATCTCCTTCAGAGAGTTGGCAGCCTCTCGTTGGGATATCTGTTTCAGCAGCTGTCGAGGCTGATTATATGGGGGTTGTGCCACACACTGGCAGCGATATAAACCTCCTACAGAGAGAAGAACTATTATGATGCTATTGACTGATGCATTCATCTGCATGAATGTGTTACAATATGTTGACTCAGAAGCACTTGCTTGTATTGATGACATTCAACATGTGCTCTGTGATTTTTATTTTTTTTATTATTTATTTATGGCATCAACAGTGGTCAAGCCACATATTCAAGGAAGCCATGTAAAGACGAGACGCTTTAATGTTCACATCAGCAAAGAACAGTCTCACAGCATGTCAATAACAACTTGTAGGCATTATAGGAGACTTCCCAATACTGAATATGATACCAATTGGCTTGTGCAGCAATTAAAACAATTAACATTGATTCATTGCTTGTTCCACACCCTGTTACCTTGTCCTAATGACACCTTGAAATTGTCAATGAGAAAGCAGTGTAGGTTATTTCCACTCGCTGTTTTCAAATATCAAATCCAGATACCGTTAATCAGGAAACATGGCTGCAGGGAGACTGTATCACCCCTTTACATTATTATTTACCATTATATTTGTAATTTATTCTTAAACTTATAGTCATTTTAATTGTTATTGTATAAACTTCTTATGTCACATGCTGCTAAAAATGACAGATTACCATCCTTGTGTGAAGTGGTGTTATAGATATAAGTTGTATTTATGCTCATGGTTTATTTCATCCACCTGCAAATGTATGGCACTGGATGTTTAGGGTTTTTAATGGCTTTGTTATTCAAATTAGATGGGCAACATGAGAATCATTAATGGAGCTGTTAATGATGTCTTTTGAAGAAGATGAAGTTTCAGACAGCCCCCTCCCCGTTTTTGTTGTTTTTTTTTTAACCCCGTTGGCTTTTCCAAAAAATTAAATTAACCCCTTTGGATTTAATTTGGAATTGGGTTTCTACTTTATCTTCTTTTAAATGGCCTTTTTCTTCTTCAGTGTTCGAAATCCTCGCTCCTCTCCCACTGACTCGGAATATATTTTTCTCCTCGTCAGCGCCATCGATTTGAATATCAAACACCAATACAAGCCACCTCTTTGATTTGTTTGAGCTCCATCATGCTGTGAGAAGAAGGTGGGTGGCACAAAGTGAAGGATCTTGGAACTATCGAGTCAAAATATTGATGGAACGGAGCCAGTCCCTGTGACGCTGAAGCCAAAGAATCATGTTAATCATGTTATGTTCTCCAAGTTACATCTTGGCAACGCAGGCATTTTTATTTATTTAGAGTGCAAGTTGAGTGAGCAATGGAGTACATGCTCTTTTCCAGCACCGCCTGCGTACGCCTAGAGTTTTGCAGTGTCGCTGGTCGTGGACGGCCACAGCTTTTTATCAGTTACTGAACAGCTTTAAGTGAGCCGATGCATGTTAATAGCTTTGCTTAAGAGCGTACCGATAATGATTTTTAGTATTGCTCACCAAGATTCTCAGCTAGTCATTGAAGTTTTCAGCCACCTGTTACTGATGCTTCACAGTAAAACCCTCTAAGGTCTAAATTATCATTCATGAGCAGTAACTTTTTCTTTTTGGATGAAATTTAAATAGCTTATGATTTATCAGTTTTCTTTTTGAGGCAAGACTTGGGATCAATATTCAAAAGCCACTAATCACATAATGTGTTGGCAAAGGGTTACAGGTCAGAACAATTATAAGTACAGGTTTTACAGGCTTTACACACTGTAGAAAAAGTACAGGAGTGTAAAATCACAAATTAAGTTGTTTTTTTTTTGTTTTTTTTAATTCTTATTGTTTCAGAACATTATGACAGCAAAATAAGCAATCGCAGCAGAATGAAGCTAATCCAATCATGCACAGTAACAGTACATGAACGTCAACATGTTCAACCATGCTTACTTTTGGTCCGTCCTGTCATCAGGGCAAGCAAAGGTTTTGTGAGTAACATTAGTGGCTCTGCTTCACAAACATCCCTGTGTGAACAGTCTTCTATTTTGTCACTGTGTTCCATCTTTTGAGAGACGTACCTGCTGTTTGCTTATTGAATGCATGACTAATGTTTGAAGAGCAAATTCTAAAGCTTAAGATGAAATTCATTTGCATCAGAATTTTGTTTTTAAAGCTAAATTGGTCTGTGACTGCACATTCAACAACAAACTTGTCAGAGTAAACTATGGTCATATCATTCACTTCATTCTTAGCAAACAGCCGCCCACTTGGCTACATATCTAGTTTAAACAGACCAAAATAGTAATATCTCCTGGACTTGTTGCCTTCCTGTAAAATTCAAGTAACCTTACCTTAATTCTGGTTTGATGTTTTAACTCATGAACAGTATTTAGTTAGTTTTCTTTATCATATCTGACTGTCTTGACTGTTACGTCTTAGCTGCTCTCAAATTTTGTAAAATGCTAATGTCTCTCCAAAGTCCTTGTAAGCAAGTCTTGCTATCCTTGTAACATCCACAATTCATAGAACCGTAGTTATATCTGTAACTCTTGTTCAGTGGTCACGTTGACATAAAACCTTGGGTATAGATTCATACGTGAAATCGAATTAAAACCATAAAAATTGGGTTTAAAAAGCTTGTATCTCATAATTTACCCAGGCAAACGCAATGTTTCTGAACACTAGCCCATTTGTGTCAGGCATTTGCAAATCATGCTTGCAGCAGGTCCAACACAGTTGGCTTGAGGTTTCCTGGTTCAGCTCTTGTAAAGCAGATGATTAGGTCTGCTAGATTTCTTTCTCCAGTCTCACCACAGCGGTACATCCTAGTGAACCGGTACCTTAAATAAGGCCTGTGTCTCTCATTAACAAGGGAATGAATTTCTGGGCAAGCTCTCAAAATGCCTCAACAAATTTTTTTTTTTTTTTTTTTTTTTACCTGTGATACTTTGGCAGTCTCTTCCTTTTCTATGTCCGCCCCCTCATAAAAACAGACAAAGCAACAAATATATCATCAGCTGTTGCCCTGTGGAGCTAGGTATTAATTATCCTGTGTTCTCCTCATTTGGCCACTCATTTGCACATGTACTGTAAATGTCACCAGAGAAATAAATGGGAAAACAAAAGCCCCAGCTCGTAGCCTTTATGCAGCAGAATGTCAGAGGGAGCTTGTAAGAGATGAGATATTGGTTTTGGCCTAGCATAGATTCTGGCTCAAAGGACATTCCCAGAGGCAATAAAATTTGTATGTAATCCGTGTTTAGAAACTTATTAACAGTGTGCCAGCAAACATTCTCAGATTTGCCATTTGGATTCATTTCTGGCGAGGAGCGGTATATAATGTGCTGTACATCTGTTATCAACAGAGACCTAATGTAATCATCTGAAGCGGCGCTGTGTAATTTCTTTGCTGTCTCTGAAAATGACGAAACGTGGTTTTAAAATAGTCTTTCCAGTTCACGTTTTTGACTCTTTCCAGCCAAATATTGTTTAGGCTTTTTTTTTTTTTTCTTCTTTTTTTTGTAGATTCATGAGTGGGTTGAAAAGCACTTTTGGAGGGAGGCAGCTCAACTCTCACTTCTTTGTGTGGCCTTTAAGGTGCAAGGAATAAAGGGGTATTTGTATTCATCGATCACACGCCAAGCCCGGGTGAAGCCTGGCCCTAATGGTTGCTTGCTGTCATTTTGCAAGCAGCTTGTAAAAAGGATTAGAGTGGCTTTGTGGAGTATAAGCGCATGAACAGCAAAGTTCTGCGGTCGGCAAGGAAAATAAATCAATTTATCCCTGATGGTGGTGTAGTTTGGAAACATAATGCCTAACGATGATGGAGTTTGGACACTTCATACTTGTCATTGTGAAATTGGACTGCCGTGTTGCTAATGATGGTAATGTATGTTGTGCCTCGCCTACAACAGCAATCCTTCACTCTGTCTCACTTAAATGCATCTCATTGTCTGGCATATTACATTATGAATACCGCTGACAAAAAATAGGCGACTTTAATTTATACATTCATTCATTTGAGCAGGAAGTTAATGGAAAACTTGAATAACCATATAAATTTCTTTCTTTTGTCACAGGCGATTGTACTTTTGAGAAGCCACTGGCAGCATGTGGATACAGCCAAGGCCGAGATGATGACCTCGACTGGGAGCAGGTCAATACCAGAGAGAAGTCTCCATCAGATCCATGGATGCCCTCAGGTAAGGACCTGGCTCCTAGCTCAGTGAAGGAAAGAAATTATTCTGTCATCATACTGAGAATACTTCGTTGTGATAGGTTGCCCATTTGACCCAGTTTTATTTCAGTAGCAGTCTTCGTGACCTGGGCAGTGGGGCAGAGTCTCCAGGGGGAGTTTGGGGGCTTACACGGGATTTATACTTGTTTATTAAAAAGGTACATCAGAACTGCAAATCCTACTGAAACATTAAGGTATAACCTATGTAACCTAAAGTATAACTTGTAAATGAAGCTACACGTCGTGTCAAAGCATCCCTCAACTTTTGTATGGCCTGTTCAGTCCTTTTGCCAAGTACCCGTGGCAATTTTACGCAATGTGGTGTTGGGGTGGAGAGCGCCCACTGTCTTATGAGGGGTGCTCGTCTGCAACAGTGTTTCGATGGATGATTTAGTCTCAAAGCGACAAACATCATGAATGCCAGAATCCAAGGTTTCCAAACAAAGCCCTGCATTATAACAGAACGATCACATCGCCTGTTAGCGGTTTTAATGTAGTGGCTGGTTGGTGTATGTGAGCAGGTACTACTCTTTAATTTTGTAAGCATTTGAAGAGAAAACAATAGTTCAGCATTCCTCACTCGTATTCCCGCATCATGCCCTTAAGTTTTATTGATGTGGGATGTTGATGCGTCTTGTTTCCACAACAGTATCTGATACACAGAATCTTTGGGACAGGCACATGAACTAAAACAAAAGCAACATTTGATATCCGCGCACTCTGATCCATGTTAATTGAAGAATTCTATCTGTCGGCAACATATTGAAGTTCATTAAAATGCTTTCCCTGCGTTTTGTGTCTGCACACAATTTGTCTCTTTAATGTTCCATTGATCGCTTTTCATTTGATTTGAAATGCAGACATATCACTGCCACTGAGCAGAAGGCACCTAAAGAGTTAGACTAATGGAATGATGCTTTCTTTCTTTCTTTCTTTCTTTCTTTCTTTCTTTCTTTCTTTTTTCATCTTCTAACAAAGGTAGCATTGCAAACTAATGGATATTGTTTTCCTCCTCCTATCTGACACCTGATCTCACAAAGGCTGCATCACAGATAGATTGCACTGGGCCCCCCAGTGACAGAAGGGGAATTAATTAGCAGGTCCTCACTAATTTTAAGCAGCCAGTGCCCAGACCTGTTTGTGTGTATATCAGGATGCTGTGTGCTGAACTGCCCCAGAGAAATTACTTTCCAAAGAAGGGAAGTCTCTCCTTTTTTCCATCGCAATTGATTAATGTCGTGACACGTGGAGGCTGGGCAAAGGTTACAGTGAAAGCCTTGACCTACAAATTAACACCTCGCACATGATCTAAATTTAACATACCTGATTAAAATCCCATGTCTGGTTAAGCGGTGTCCCTGATTGTGCCTCCTAGTCTGAGTACACTTCATACAGGCTTGTTTTCTATCTATGCATCTTGAACTGGGCCTAATTAACAGGTTGCAGCTCTTTCTCCATTTCACAGTGTGAGCACTCAACCTGCTGCGCAAAATTGTAATCTCTCCTCTTTGACCACATTGGAAGGGATGGGAAATGTAGTGTGCTTGACAGATGAAATTTTTTACGGCTACTAGAGTGGGGGTTGATGGGTAAAAATGCATTTAGGTGAAAGCCACACTGGTGGAAAAGCTATCTCACCTCTGATTGCTGCCTTACTCTCAACTTGCACTTATGAATCTTCACAAAACGACCATATCATGCTCAGAGAGAAGATTGTTATCCTACCTGGTGTGCCAGGATGGAAATGGAATTGAAGTAGCAGAGAACGAAGGCGTTACTACCTCGGTACCTTTTTAAAATTTGTTGGTAACCACAAATGGTCCAATCAGAGGTGTTGTCACTACCGATGCATGATTTAAATCATGCATAACTGCTTCTGGTTTACTTTAGTTTTCCAAGAAAATTGATTTCTTTTGAGGTTTAAACTCCAGTGACACTGTCCTCTGTCATTTTTAATATTATTGTTTCATTGCCCACATTAGACTTAAAATTAATAGTTAATTTTTCATTCACTGGATTATCAGGTTGTCATTTTTTTTATTTTATAGTGTACTGCAGTTTGTTTTTTGGGGGGGTCAAACATTGGACTTGTTCATCAGCCAGTATCAAAAGTTAAAATATGAGTGATATCCAGTGGTAATCTAAGAGGGGAAAGAAATGGAAACAAAAGGAAAATATATTAGTGCCGTCAGCGTTAATCTCATTAAAATGATGTTAACGCCATAACCGCATTGATGCGGCAAATCTGTTAGCGAGTTAGCACGGATCTCCCCGCGTGTCGGGCTGCACGGCGCTAAAGCGTTAGCAAGCTAACCGCGCTAGCGTGTTGACGGAGATTTGTCGTGTTAATGTGGTTATGACGTTAATGTCATTTTAACGAGATTAACGCTGACAGCACAAACAATATTTTGTCATAGCTGCTGTGCACAGATTGTTAATCCAAAAATTCAAGCTACATTTTGTACCTGAAGCATAAAACAGATGCCCTTTAGCATGGTTTTGTTGTCCTGTATGAACTACCACATTTGTAGCTGTAACTGTGAATGTCACTAAAATAGCTTGATATTAAAATGAGTTGTTTTTTGATTTTTTTTTTTTTTAACAGAGGTTAATAACACTCAGAACTAAAAGCTGCACACTCTTCGATTATGTGCCTGCAAAAATTTGTACTAAAGAATCAATAGGAGACATTGTGATGAAGGTGCTGAGGCACTGTGGTTTAGTGTTTAGACCTTACTCAAGAGAAGCACGCAGCAGAGTTTGATGTCAGCCTGCTGTGGACTCTCCTTCCTCTTACTGCAATCAAAGACCAAACTGGCCCATTTCCATGCCTGCATGTAAATAAGTACCACAACTGAAAAGTGAAATGAAATGCAACAAGAAAAAAAAAACCCTCTCTGGTTACTTAAGAAGAGACAAGCATTGCTTTAAACTCTTGGTTGTTTATGATGGTCTGCGCCTTACCTAATTGCTATGTCTGGATGGAGAGACGCCTTGTTTATCCCACCATGCAGCTCTGATTGCATGCCTTGGCTCCTTTTAGTATGGTTCAGCCCAGTTTTGAGGCTCTGTATGTCTGCTTGGGCAATCCTCAGTGTGTTCCTCTCCCAAGGCCAGTTGCTGAACCCCCGTCACAACTGCCACAGTCTGCCCTGCTATTACAATAAGCCTCATCTGTCCTGAGCAATTAAAAATAAATACATAAATAAAATAATCTCACCGAGTTCTCATTCAGCTTTTGAGAATTGGATACACTTCGGTCATATTTGGGCTTGAATTGGCTTGAACAGAATCTTTAAAGACAATAGTTGCACTTGAATAAAAGACACTTGTGATTTATTTTTTATTTTTTTCCCCCCTCTCTGGGAGGAATGACTGAAGCTGTGGAAGTTTCTGGTAGGATGTCCAGATTCTATTAAGCTGTTTGTTTGTTTTTTTGTTTTTTTTGTGGGGGGGTGGGGTTTGTAAATCTTAGCTAGTTTGAGACTGTGTCTTCTCCGCTGGTGTCCTGGATGCTGCCAGTACTAGGCTGCTGCTCTGTTTCTCCCCTGAGACTCGTTCTGGGGAATAATAGCAAGAGGAAGAGAAAGAAGGGCCTCTAACTGAGATTAATTAGGGTTTTTGTATTCTACTAGGAACAATTGCACATGGAGCTCCAGCTAAATGACTTATTGTGTTATTCTTAACATCTGCTCTAAATATGTTGCGGAGAAAATTTAAAAAATTATAATTTTGTCTCACTGTTGCACAGGGTCTTTATTTTGATAGCACATCCTTGGTTGATAATGACACCTGGACAATGGCGAAGGATTGGCAGAATGAGGTGCTTCACAGGGTGACAATTTCAAGCAATACAGCTTACTCTTAAACACGGAAGAGTTTGCCTATTGCACATAGATAAAGGCAGATGTTTTTAAATGGCAAAGTCTTCACCTTCCTGATCACATTGCAATAAGGAGGTAATGAACTGACCCTCCGTCTTACCTGGAAAACAAGTGTTGGTTGTTGTGCTGAATGTGCTGTCCAAATGAAAGAGGGGGGAAAAAAGGCTAAGCACTCAAATTATGAGCAGTGAGAACACCCACTGACTGAAGGGCATCAGAAATTTAATCAGAATTTAAATCACATCAGCAAAAGATGGGATTTGCTGTTGTGAAGGGAGGGGCATCATATTGTGAACATAAGCCAGTTGCTTTTGAGCCTTTCGCAACTATGTGTGAAAATCACACCTTGCACACCACCAATGGCAAGGTTAGGTTAAGCTTAAGGAGAAGCGCCATTATGATTAGGGAACAGAGCAGAAAGTCTGATCAATTTGTGAATTAATTCCCAGGCATGAGAGACTAGCATTTTCAATTTAGCATGTTTGTGGGGTGAAGAAGTGTCTTGTGGTCTCAGCAAATTACTGATTTGGATGAACAAGGTTAAGAAATCATGATGGAGGACATATTTACATGTAGTATCTTTTCTGTATCCTAAGTGATCATAACGTGAACAATTAAGGCTTATTATAGGCGAGTCATGTGTAAAGTTTCTGTTGTGGAATGGGTATGTAACAGGCAAATGGGGCCCATTACATGACCCATTTCCTGGAATGGATTGGCAATCGAGCGTACTGCATTTTAAGACGATATATTAAGCCATTAAGAATTATTTTTGATTGGCATGCAGCAACAAAAGATGCTGCCAGGGAACATAATAAGGGTCAGTTGTTCCACCTGACTAAAGTGACGGGGCTGAAACGTGTTCCGCATGATGGATGATTCTGGGTGAATCGGTTTGACTCCGTCAAAGAGACCTGCCAGGTCTTCATATGGAGAGCCCAAACTTATTCTGTGTTATTTTATCAGGCTCCTTTCATGTTTCAAAGGACACAGGGAAAGTTCTGGAAAATTGAGTGGAGGCCACGGCTGTTCACATTAACAGCCTAACCCTCACAGCGAGAGCATTTTTGATTGGTAGCAG